TTATTATTAAAATAGTTGGTACTATAAAACGATGCGCAGCATTTTTCCTGGCAGAAGGCATTCTTTGACTAAAATTTTGTGAAGGAGGAAATATTATTTCTTTAACATTGTCGCAACCAGTAGTTAAACCTAGATTAATAAATTTATTTTTTAAATCTTCTAATTCATTATGAATATCGTCGTCACAGTTTAAACTGCATAAGTGTTTGAGCCGTTCATATTTTTTTGCACATTCCCATGCACAATCGCATCTATTGTTTGTATAGCAATACTTATTATACTTAATTTCCTCAAGTGTTTCTTTAATATAGTATATATCGACGATATTCATCAGTTCATCATCTTCGTCATATCCTTTTTCATTATCGAATATTTTTGGTGCAACATATTCTCCATCTTCGTACGAAAAATGTTTTAATAACGATTGATATAATCTATGGATATTTTCTATATTAGTTTTTTCCTTATATTCCTTATATAACCAATAATAAAGGTATATACATCCAGGTTTCTCTAATGGAGTATCTTTTGAATTTGATATGTCTTCTAAGTAGAGCATTGTTTGAAGACAAAGATTCATGATATTTGAAATATTAATGGTGAATATTCTTGATGAATTTTTTGACATTTTTCATCATAATATCCTATATTTTTCTCTCTCTTAGGGTTATCAAACATTTTTTTACATTCAGGAAATAATTTCATATATTCATACTAGAAAAAAAGAATAAAATATTAATATGAAAAAAATTATATTTTGTTGAATAAGAACTATAACACTTATGGATAATGGAATATATATTTTTATAGCTCAATTATGCAGTTTATGAAATTGTAATTAATGAGTACAATTGTTTTATTCATTTTGGACGTATAGGACTCATATTTTGTTTAACGTATTATTTCTGTTTAATATATTTCTCTCTATAATTACGTGATTTATCTATATTTACCTAAATCATACCTAAGCAATTTATGTACAATATATTATTTATTTTATAATGTATAGAATTTTATGCAAGCATATTATTTAATATATTTAATAATACAACTATATATAAGATTATTTCATTAATTTGTGATAACATACTTATTATGCCTAGTTTATTTTGATCTTAATATGTATTACTTCAGAATGAGAATAATAATATTATTAATATATATAGTTTAGACAATAACAAAAATTGGAGCTATGTGTATTACATGATAGTAATTTATTCAATTCTATACATTGCCCACTTACACTGTCACATAATTTAAAGGCTTAATAACATGTATAGTGATAAAGCATTAATTTTAGGATATAACAAAATTGTTCTCTTCACATGTCATTAATAATAATAAAATTCTTTTTATGCTTTTTTTATTTATTTTCATTTTATTTCTTATATATCATAAATTTTAATAATTATAATTAGATAAATGTGACAAATGGTAATATTCGTATATTAAATAAATTTTTATATTAGAAGCTACATTATATAGAGAAAAAATATATTAATAAGAATATTTAAAATTTTCTTTTTTGTTATAAGATAGTACTTATTATTTTTATGACAAATATATTTTAATAATGAATAAATTATTAATCTAATTCCGAGATATAGTAACTTTTGAATACATCTAATTAATATATTATATATAAAAACGTAATACATTAGCGTAAATATTAACTAGACCTTATTATAAAAATTTTCTAGAAAAAACATATGATTTTATCTTAAAAAGTTATATAAATTACGAAATATATATTTTTTAATTTATATTATTAATTGATGTGAATTTCGGAATTTATAAATTTTATAAGAATTAAGAATTTTAATTTCTTCATAATTATCTGTATTTTAACACGTAACATATAAGCAATTTATTATCAAAATAATTATTTTCCATATTTAGAAGTGTCTATGTATTTAATAATATTAATATTCATCATAATTGAAACTCATTATGAAAACTTTTATAATTTTTTCATACATATTAGAATTAAGATTTTATAATATAATCACCACAAATAAGAAGAGAATATTATTGATATTTAATTTTAGTGATGTACATTAAGTAGAAAATCGTATACGATAATTTTTATTTTTTTTCATAATAAAGTATTAAGACAAAGTATAACACATATTCAGAAAATATTTTTAAAATAGTATATTGTTTCCAAATTAATATTTATAAAAATAGCTATAAGAATAAATCAGCAATTAAATAAACTAATATTAACATGTGGAAAAAATTATACAGATGTGATGAAGAGTATATAATATATTAAAATAATTTAATATTTTGTGATTTTTTTCTGCACAGAAAATAGTATATTTTATTGCAATGTACTCTGCACTGTCTTAAATATATTTCAATAATTTATAATTAATATATAATGTTATTTAATGGTGTGAGCTATCATAAACTATTTGAATACATTTTTTAATAGAATTTTTATTAATAAATTGCATTATATGAATAAAATATATTATTTTTCACCATTGAAATCTAGTATAATGTTTATTTCCCTTTATACTATTTTCTATAAGTTATTAATGCTGAATACTAATAAGAAAATAAAAAGTATCCATTCTGATATAATAGTTTTATCAATGTAGTAGTTTAGTAAATAACTATGATATAGTAGTATACATTAATAACATTACATAAAATGAATTAATAAATTATATATGTTGAAAAGCATTAAATGTATTCCATGCTAATAATGAAAGTATTGAATATATTTGTTAAAAATATATATATATAATGTATTAAAATAAACATTGTACATACTTTATACGTATATTATTATATATAAATCTGCTGTAATACATTATAAAAAAATAAAATTAATTATATATTACATATATTAAATATATAGATATATTTCTTGATTTTCAATTAAATTGTTATTATATATATGCATGTCTTATCATATTATAATTCCATAGCACTTATTAAAAGGAATATATTCATTATTTTTATATTATATAACTCTTTGTTTTCTTATCGAACTATATATGACTGCTTGTTGCATTTTAATCCTTCCTTCCACTATGCATAATAATCTATAATAAATCCGTGTCCTAAATTTTTTTTATCATTGGGATTCAATTCATAAATACTAAATTTTTTTTACGAGTAAATATAAAATCAAAAGCTTTTCAAGCAGTATTGTATGTCTTCTATCTATTGAGCCTATCAATGGATGTAATCAATATAGAAAAGATATTCAATCTTTATTTTAATACTACTATTATTTTAAAAAAAATGAAACTATTTTATTTTTAATATTGTGTGATCTAAGATTTTTATAATCGTGTATAATATTAGCATATGTTATATGAAACTTTGAATACCTAGTTTGATAAACAACATTTATTGAAACTCCCTGTTAAGAAAATGCATGAAGAGTGGTATTATTATTAGAGTTAATTTTTTTTTAATTCATATATAAGATGCTGAGTTAATGCTTTACCTGTTGTTGAAGTGCATCCGATATATCTTGCTCAAATTCTATATTTTTTTCCTCTTTTTTACTAATATTTTAACAGAAACATTAAATTTACCTTTATTTTTTTAGTGGATTTAAACAATAATTGGAATTAATATTTTAATTCTTTTATATTATAATTGAATGGATTAAGTTTTATAAAATATAAAAATTGTGTTCTTATGTAGTTTTTGAAAGCTTCTAAGTGTGCATTTTATACAATTAAAAAGAGTAAGCACGTTTAGACAATTATTAGTTCTTAGATTGTTTTTATTTTTTATAATATAATAAGTATATATACAAGATTATTATTTTTTTAGAATATATATATTTAGATTTATATTTATTAAATTTTCTACGATATTACAACAAATTAATGCAAATTATTGCGCTCTTGTTGAATTACCAAATATTATGATTCAATTCAGCATTCTAAATTCTACCTAGTTATCTTTAAAGCCATAATATATATGAAATAATTGTATTTTTCGAATATAGAAAACATATTATATGGCTCTATATATTTTGTTTGAATTTTTATTATGAACTAATATTATTTGGACACTTATTGAATTATGGAGTACGGATTTTCTGTCCATTTTGTATACCCAGATATAAATAGGTTTTAATTATATTTTTCATCTTACTTCTACGTTGCATTTTTCATAAGTTACTTCAAAAATTTTTTTATTAATTTATTATTAATAACATATGTAAGTATATATATAAATAAGTGCTTTTATATATACATAGTAAAACATTAATATGATAAAAGATAATTATAATTGCATAATTTACATTTTTATTATTATTTCTTTATATCATGCAAAATGAAGCATAACAGAATGTATTATAAAATCTTACAAATGTTTACTTTTCAATATTATGAAGATTAGTATCTATTTTAATTTTACTGAAAAATGTAAATATTTATGACAATTGAATAAATGCATGAATGATTTGTTAGCATTAATGAGTAAGAAAATTACACTTTATCAATAATTTTTGTATAGTTATAGGTAATTTGTATATATATAGAAAAATTATTCACTATTTATTATTTATAATGAAAACACGAAATATGAAAAACTATATATGTTTTTCATATATTAACATCTTTTCTCAAATACCATATTTAGGATTTTTTTGGACGATGTTCTTGATTTAAAAAAATTGATGTAAAATCAATGCTGCATAGATTTTACATATATATTATAAATTAAAAAATAATATATTATAATAATAATACCTTCATATATATATTTTTTTAATAAAAATTATTATTACAAGTTATTATTCAATATAGTATGTATCAATCTTATAGGATATGATGGTTTCTGTCCTTTCATTCTATATTGTGATGCTTTAGTATTCTTTTTATGTTTACACCTAATAATTTATAGAAAAAAAGGTAACATTTAATATAAAATAGTATAATTAAATATAAATAATTATATAATACAATACGGTAATATATTACCAAAAAATATTTCCATGTATATATGAATAATATAGCCATATCAGAAAACGTATAATTTAAAATTCTGCAATATAAAACAAAATTAATGGAAGAAGTAATGATATTAATAATTTGAATAAGAGTTCTAAAAAATGTGGCATAAAAACTTATTTTTTATATATAGTATAATGATAGCAATATGCTAACAAATATAAATCAATATATAAAACTATGTATATACTTAAATATACAACGTTATAATTTATGTAAGTAATACGTAATTAGTTTTCTAAAATATAAATAATAAAAAAAATAATTACTACAATTAACATGTAACGGAAAAAAACAAAAAAAAAAAAAAAAAGAAAAATCTACCTAATATTATAAATAGGAAATGTGGTAACATAGTAAGAATATAAAAAAATTAATATAGTATGCATATTATAACGAATATATACTTTTATTATATGTTTAAAAAAGAAGAAAAATTAGAATAAGTTATAAGAATACATACACTAAATGCTATAAAATTAAAAATTTTTATATATCTGGAATGATTGTATAGTGCATAGACAATATATATAAAAAAAATTACCTATTATGACTAATAATAAATTAGGTATTATAATAACAAACGAAAAATAATGAGGCTTATTAGATTTCTTTCAAGATTAGTAAATTAAAAAAA